AACCTTAGCATGGCAATAGTTTCTTTGACTTATTTTAGGCAGTCTAATTTTACAGGGAAGGATCAGGCTCAAGGTTTATTTATACGGGGACTAGAAGTAGACACACCCCTGATGTGTACGTTTTGTCATTGTTTTTGGTTTATCTAGGATGGAAAATGTTTTGTTTTTCCTGTTTTGGGGATCCAATGTGCCTAGTTACTCAGAATGGCAGTATGGTAAGGAATCCATTTTTCTTCTGCATCTTAGATGTCAAGACAATTATAGGATCCAGCCAGAGAAAATGTGAATTGAGTGTTCAGTTAACCTTTTTTGTTTGTTTGCCATAAAGCAGGTGCACTTGCCAGAGAGACACAGAGAAACAGAAAGAAGAGGAAAGTGAGAAATCACCCCACAGGGGAAATGCCCATGCTTCATTTCCTTCTCCTCCATTCTCCTCTCAAGATTTTGAGCTTGTGTGTACACACATGCCCAGAGTCTTTTTCAAGTTGCTGCTTCTGGGATTTGAACCATGAAATTGGCAATGTGAGATCTAGCCTTAACCACCACACCACCAGCTGACTCCAGAAATTGTGTTTTTTTTTTTTTTTTTGGAGAGATTTTCACTGTAGGGCGCGGGCGCTCGCCAGACAGACAGAGAGAGACATAGAGACAGAAAGCAAGAAATCACCCCCCGGGGGGGGATGGCCACGCCGCAATCCCTTCTCCTCCATTCTCCTCTCGGGATCTTGGGCACGCACGCACACGCGCCCCGCGTGAGTTTTAAGCCACCGGGTCCGGGACGCGAACTGCAGTCGACTATGTGGGAGTCCAGCGACATAGCCATTACGCTAACTGCTGGTTCCCCCCCAGAAATTGTTTTTTAAATCAAGAATCTCAATCTTACTAAACCTATGAGGCTTGCTTCCCAAATGTCTCTGATAATAATCATTTAGGGGTATCTTAAAAATAGATCACCAGGTCTATTGAATTCACCAAAGCAAAAGTTACCATTTCCTACTGTGCCAGTCTCAATTCTAAGCGCTAGCAATGAGGTAAACAAAGTTCCTGCCTCTGTGGAGCTTAAAACTAGGGTAGAGTTTCTCGCCCTCGGCACTATCGACATTTTGGATCCAATAGGTTTCTTTCTGTGAAAATCTGTCCTGTGTATTGAAGGATGGTTAGTAGCATCCCTGGCCTACATCAACTGACAGTAATGGCAACCACAATTGTCTCCAGACATTGCCAACTGTACAGGGATGGGGGTGAGCAAAGTATCCACAACTATCCCCAGATGAGAGCAACTGCTGTAATAGGAAAAAGACTAACAAATGTCAGGTGGTAATAGTGTTGTAAGAAACAATGGGATAAGAGGGTGGAGGGAAATGGTGAGGTTGAAGTTGATAGGGCGGCTGGTAGGATGGTTTTGCTGTGTAAACTTGACCTGCCCATGCTCCCGTTGCTGTGCAGGCACACGCGTAATTAAAGCCCTTAATTAGTTCACTTTGATTAAGGAAGTGACCCTGGATAATCTGGATGGGCCTGATTGAATCTCTCAGACCTAAACACAGGTCTGAGTTTCCCTGAGGAACTCCACTCTGCTTGTATTTTTTCCTTCTCTCACTTCCTATGGATGAAAGCTTCAACCGATTCTCATGAGGCACAGCCTGCCTGGCCTGCACATTTTGGGCTTGCATAGCCAAGTCCCTCAACTGTGTAAACCAATTCCTTGTTTAATTCTGACCTACGTACCTCCTGCTGATTCTGCTAATACACAGTCTGAAAGAGCCTCCTAAATACAGTGCAGAAATGACCTCTGTGATGATCTGGAGGGAGGGAGAGAGAAGCAGAAAGTGCAGATGTGGAGATAAGAGCAAACCCATGGGTTTAAGGAACACAGAAAATGACAGTGTTGGAACCAGGGAGAGTGGTGAGAAAGGAGTTCTGTGAGATAGGTCTTGGAGCTCGAAAGGTGAGATAAAATCATACAAAACATGAAGGGTCAGCTAAGGACTCAGAACTTTATTCTAAGCCTAACAGGAAACTGCTAAGAGGTTTTTAAGCAAAGGGATATAGTGATTTGTAAAGATGACCCTCGATGCTCTGTAGAAACTAACTGTAAAGAAAAGTGGAGAAGCAGAGAAATAAGTTAGGAACCTAAAAACACAGACAAGCGAATGATTATTTGGTCTTGGCTGTATAAGAGAGGGAGGAAAAAAATTTTTTTCCTTCTATCCATGTAGCTTCACTCATGGTGGCCCCTGCAACAAAAGATTCAGGCATATGAAATCTATCTAAATTGGACACGGCTGGAAACCTCCATAAGGAAATGGGCTGGCTCTGTGGGCAGTGGCATTATGTGGCTCAGCAGACGTGGATTGGGCCATCAGGTGGTGTGGAGGCTAAGGGGGTTGCATCCCACATGGCTGACTGTGTGGACTAAGTCTCAGACCCCGTGGCTAGAAAATCATGCTGGCATGTGTGCACGCGTGCTCCAAATCCTGAGGACACTGGAAGAGGAGAGACTGAGGTATGGCTATCCTCCCTGGGAGACGATTTTTCACTTTCCCTATTTCTCTACATGTCTCTGGTGAGCTCTTATGTCCTATAGCAAAACTTAAAAAAAAAAAAAAAAAAGGATTGTGACAATCACAATCCAAATCTCTGGCCTGGTTGGCCTGAAACACCATGGGCACAAGTGGGAGTACCCAACATCCACAGCTGGAGGACTGGAGGAACAGGATTACAGCCTGACCAGACGCTGCCCACTCGTGCGTGTGTGTGCTCTATCATGAATACATGAGAAAAAAAATTAAATGAAGACTTGAATAAACAGTTAAACCTTAGTGATTTTCTATAATAGGTTTGATGAGTTGGAGAGTGACAAAAATACATAATAGGCCAAAAAAAATGATCTAAGGGTAATTAAGTGGGAGAAACTTAGCAAGGCCTGTTTGTTTCCCATTCTCTCTGCACCTCTGCCCTCTCAGAGATAAGCATGCTTCTTTTCTTTAGGTAGAGAGAAGGCACCTCTTGTACGAGGATTTTTTTTTTTTTTGAGAGAGATTTTTTTCACTATAGGGTGCATGTGCTCGCCAGCCAGACAGAGAGAGGCACAGACACAGAAAGTGAGAAATCACCCGCCAGAGGGGATGGTCACGCCGCAATCCCTTCTCCTCCATTCTCCTCTTGGGATCCTGGGGACGCG